GCCAGCCCCAGCCACGCGCTGCCGCCTGGGTACCCTCGGCCCGGGGGCTCCGCTGCAGCCCCGCGTTTCCACAGAGCTGCTGGGAAGAACCCACAGAGCGTTTGGCATCGAGTGACAGCAGAGTTCGTCCCGGCTCCTGCCCCGGGTGCCCTTGGGCTTCTCCTGCAGCAGCCACCTCCCTGCTCGTCCCTCCTGTCAGCCTGCTCAGCACTGAGCACTGGCACAACTCATCTCACCTACCAGGCAGCTCCTGCTGCCCCAGAGCTGCAGGGGGGTCTCTGCCCTCCGTGGGGGCTGGGACGTGGCCACTGACCCTGTGCAGGCAGGAGGCTGCTGCAATGCAGAGGCTGGTGCTGCCGACACTGCAGGTAGGGCATGGGCAGCTGCCCGTGCCCCTGTGGCCACAGCCCTGGCTGGTAGAGCCCTGTCCCCAGGCAGGTGGGACAGTCTGGTCCTGCTGTCTCCTGTCCCCAGGTTGCTCCCTCCAGGTGTGGGAGGCATCCTGCCTTCGGGCATGTTTGCTGAGCCCAGTGGGGCAGGAGGGGCTGCAGAGCCTCCTCTGCTGCAAAGAGCCCCTGGCCAAGGCAGGATGGTGGCGGGTGCCCTGCAAGGAGGGGAGCAGAGCACAGAGTGAGACGGTGTCCCCACCCTGTTCCCATCCTGTCCCCAGGCAGTAGGTTCACACCAGGTGTGAGCCCCGTTGCTGGGAGGGCAGTGAGTGAGTGACTGGTGCTGAGAGCATCCAGGGCAGGAGGCAGCCAGGCTGGGAAGCCAGGCTGGGAGCTGCGCTGGTCTGTGGGAATCCGAGGGCTGGGCTTTGGGCTTTTGGCTGCAGGAAAGGTCATTTGCTCTCTTGTCTTGGCACGGAGCTGCTTGAGGGTCTGTTGGGGGCTACAGCATCAAATGCCACTGCAAGGCACCACTTCTATGGCCACAAGAAACCACTCGTGGCAAAGACAACAGCACTAGAAGCAGCCAAGGGAGCCCAGGGGAGCCCGGCAGCAGCAGCTCCCACCACACTCCGGGGCTGTCCCGCTGCTGCCCCG